ATCCCCCCGCATACGTTGGGATGCCCCCGGCCACGTATGGGGTCTGTCAACACGCTGGCTACTCCTACGACACATGTGACCTCAACACAATCACCGGGTGGTACTTATAGTATCATTAATATCCTGGGGGTATATAGGGTAGTGCATATAGCACTGCAAACTGACATTCAATCCCTTTTTATACGTTTATATACACACATAATTATATACAAATATAATCCTCTATTTCATAAACCTTAACTCTGGTATAGCATCCGATAATCCCCCAATTTAAATCAATGAATTAATATCCTACTCCACATAACTCAACAACGCTCAAGACTTGTCACTAGGGTCATTACAATCTTCCTAGGAAGGTAATACTACCTAGGAAGTCTCACGGACAACCCAAGGTCAAACTACCCAACCTTGGACAAAGGGGCCCGCGGGGCCCACGACCTCCAAATTTCGATCCGACAGTTTCTATAGGTTCTACAAGGTCTAAGATGCCCGTCCTAAAAGTTTGGTCCAGATCGGACGGTCGGATCGCTCACGATCGCACGATCGGAAGGTTACTATAAACTTAACCCGGGTTGGCATTTTCGGAGTATCCGGGACTTTCTTTTACAATCCATCGAATCCTACACGATCCTAGGAATGCCCAGATCAACATATATTAAATTGGAGTTAATCCAATGGTCCGAACCTATCGAATCCGGATAACCCATAATATGCGTAATTCGTTCGGGGTTCAAACGTCAATCGAATTGGAATCCGAAAGAACCCATGCGCTCATGAAAACCAGGAGATCACATCAGGACCCAAAGCCCTTTTTTCTACAGTGTCCATGCGCCGCCACACGCGCCGGCAGCGCGTGGGTGTCCAAAGCGATAACCCATCACTGGAAAAACCCAAAATCACTGCTCAAGACTCCTATCCTAGGTAAAACACCCTATTTGGAGTCACTTTTGTTCTTGGGCATACATCAAAAATTGACCGGAAGTAGCCGGAATCACTAACTCAAAATCGGCCGAACCCTAACTCAAAAATCAGATAATCTAGGCTCAAAATTAACGAAATCCTACCCATCCATCAGCTAGATCATGAGGAAAGGATAGATTTCCATACCTGGATCGCCAAAAATGGCAGCCGGACGGCGAAGAACGAAGCCAGCGAAGTTTCTGTCAAAACCGAGCTTTTCTCTTCGATTTTCCGGCGAAATCTCAACTGCTAGGGGGGGACCTGGCTGGGGTAGGAAGAGGACGGCGGCCCGGTCATTTTGGTACCGGCCCCGTCAACTTTGGTAG